GGGAAGAAACCCAAAAATAGGGGGTTTAAGGGGCCCCCCCCCCAAGGCCCCCCAAGGGCTTTTGGTTCCCCTTTAAAAAGGCCCCCCTTCCCCCCCCCCCCCCCAAAAAAAAAAAAAAAAAGGGCCCCCCCCCCCCCCCCCCCCCCCACGGCCTCCGCCCCCCCCACCGCCCCCCTCGGACAAACAATGTGTCTCCCCGTCGCCCCGCTGCAGGTGGTGGCCGCCCTCCTCGCCAGCAACGCCACCCCCACTCGCTCGCGCGACAACGGCGCCACGCCCCTCCATGCGGCGGCTGCCTTCGGCCACACCGCCGTCCTGCAGCAGCTGCTCGCCGCGCGCGCCGAGGTGGACTCGGCGACCAAGGTTGGCTCCACTTCGCTCCACGCCGCCGCCGCGCACGGCCACGCGGAGACCGTCGCGGCCCTCCTCGCCGCGGGCGCTGTGGTGGACAGCGGCGCCCGGTCGGGCGTGACGCCGCTGCACGAGGCGGCGGACCACGGCCACGCCGCAGTGCTCACCAGGCTGGTCGAGGCGAAGGCGGACGTCGATCGCGTGGCCAGCCGCGGCCTCTCCCCTCTCCACATGGCGGTCCTCGCGCAGCACGCCGCCGCGGCGCAGGCACACTCGCCCCGCCCCGGAGTCTCGCCCCGGGCCCTCGCCCCGGAGTCTCGCGCTCCCGCCTCCCGCCTCCCCTGCCCGCCTCGTCTCGCTCGCACCCGGCGCCGGCCCTGGCTTGCTGAGTCGCCGCCGCACGCCGCAGGTGCTGCTCGAGGCCGGCGCGAGCGCCAACAAGCGCGGCGTGGAGAGCGAGCCCACACCACTCCACGCAGCATCGTACACCGGATCCGTCCACCTCGCGCACCTGCTCTGCGCGTACGGCGCCGACCGCACCCTCCCCTTCCTCGCGCCTGCGTACGGCGGGCAGCCCATCACGCCGGCGCAGGTCGCGCTGCTCCACCGCAACCTCCCTCTCGCCAGCTGGCTCTCCGCGACCGCCGACTGGACCACGCCCCTCCACCACCTCGAGGTGCTGCCGGCTCGCCTATTAATTACTAATTAATTAGCAGTTAATTAATAGCCCCTCCACCACCTCGAGGTGCTGCCGGCTCGCCTATTAATTACTAGTTAATTAGCAGTTAATTAATAGCCCCTCCACCACCTCGAGGTGCTGCCGGCTCGCCGCGCGCGACAGCTGCTGCGCGACGGCGCGGACCCGCACGCCTCGCACCGCGAGCGCGGCGTGACGCCCGCCGCGCTCGCCGCGCGCCTCGCCGGCCGGGGGCTGGCGCCCGAGGGCTCGGCCGCGCAGCTCGTGCTGCTCGCCGCCGAGCCGTGGTCGCCCGAATCGCACAGCCTGTTCCCGCGGCGCGCTCGGGAGCGCGCGTTCGAGCTCGCGCGGATCGGCTGGCTCCTGTCGCGCCTCGAGGCGTTCGAGGGGCAGGAGCTCGCAGTGGTCGACGCGTGGCGCGGTTTTGTCATGCCGCACGCCGTGCGTCGAGCCTCCCACTAAGCAGCGAGCGAGAACGACGGCCGGCGGCATGCCGCTGGGCGCGTGTAAATTTGCGATTCCTCTCGGTGTGTACAATTGAGACGGTTCGCCGCGGTGCGCTGTGAGTGTGGAGCAGCTTCCAGTAGTAGTCCAGGTGACGCAGGAGAGGAGGAGACGAGAGACGGAGTGAGAGATCGGCAGAGAGCAGCGAGGCGCGAAAACGGAAGAGGAGAGTTAGGGTACCCCGTACGGGAATTAATTTTGTGCAGTCATCCATGGACCATGCCAAAGACCTGAGAGAAAACGGTCGCACGGAGACTCGACAGAGACGTGATGAGATGTTCGCGCGTGGACGAGGCTCGGGGGGGGAGGGAGCTCACACAGCTGCAGAGCTTGTGGTGTGGAAGCGGGAAGGCAGAGAATCTCCAGAGGGGGGGGGGGGGGGGGCACCAGGTAGCGCTCACACCCGCGGGCCTTTGCACGCTTAGAAGGGTTGTGTGATGAAGTTTACCTCACCTTAGTACTCACTATCCCTACCCGTGTGGGGGGCCCGTCCGCCGTCTGCCGGGGACTTGGAGCACTTGGAGTGCAGTCATTAACCGCACATCCAGGGCCGGGGAGCTAAGAAGCGCACCCAGCGGGCCAGACAGACAGATGATTGGTATCGATCGGGTTGCGGGCAAGAGAGCCCTACCTAGCCCTGGGGGGTGCGCGTTCGCAGGGAAGGAAGGGGCCGTAAATAAAAGTAAACGTGTCCGAACACCCGACATGGACACACGACGACACACACTCCCACTCGGCGACGGCGTCACCACTCAGGGACCCTCGTTCGTCCCCGCTTGAAAAACTTGAGTCTGCCAATCGCGGAGCCACGCACCGTTGCGCGTTTCAGCTTCAGGCACGCGCCTAGGTGCCAGCGGAGGTCCCAAGCCAAGACGACCCACGCTTCAGCCCGTCCAGTGCCGCACAGGAGGTTTCGTGTGCCATCTGGCCCGCCGCCCATCTTGTCGGACGAGTGATATGCAGGCGCTCGATTCCGCAGGCATCCGGGCCTACATTGAACAGCACCGGCTAGAGGAGGAGCTGACTAGCGCTGTCAACACTGCACTGAATGAACGCTCCGATGATCCGTTCGGCGTCCTCGCCCACCACTTTCGTGCTCTCTCTTCAGCGGGGGATGAGGGCCACCCGATGGAGGAGGAGGACGACATCCTGCTTGAGGACGCGCCGCCGCCGCCCAAGGCGCGAGGCAAGCGGGGGCACGTCATGTGCACGCCGGTCGTGATTCCCGACGGGTGGAGACCACCAATAATCGAGAAGAGCGAGGCTCAGCTCGCATTCCTCGAGGACGCGATGAGGGAGAACAAGCTGATGCGGCTGCTCTCGCCATCGGACCGGGCACAGCTCATCGCAGCTTTCTCTCCGAAGTCGTGGGAGTCAGGGACCACCATCATCAAGCAAGGGGACCGGGGCGAGCACTTTTACGTGGTCGAGTCGGGCACCGCTGACGTTTCCATCCAAGGCGTCGGCAAAGTGATGGTTGCCGCGAAGGGCACCGCCTTCGGCGAGCTAGCTCTTCTGCACGATGCGCCGCGCGCCGCCACGGTGATCAGCACGTCGGCGATGACCACCTTCTCCATCGACGCCCTCACCTTCAAGTCCGTTCCCACTCCCGGTCGCCGCCATGACTTTCATTCTGTGTTGAACTGAACGCCCCACCCCCGCAGGTCACTTTTGATGGGGAAATCGCAGCAAGACGCACGCGAGGTCGTGGGCTTCCTCGGCAACGTCCGCCTGCTAGCCTCGCTTGGGGAGGCAGCGAAGCGCGAGCTGGCAGACACGGCTGTCGAAAGACTCTTTGAGGCAGGAACCAACATCATTTGCGAGGTTGATATGACGCCCCTTCCTCGTGACGTGATTTGACATAGCCCTTCTGCTTAGTGCCACACCTGCATGCGCACAGGGTGAGGACGGGCACGAGTTTTTCATCATCAAGACGGGCGAGGTCAAGTGCACTAAGATGGGCGAAGAGGGCGAGGTGTCGCGCAGGCTTAGCGCCAGCGACTTTTTCGGCGAGCTCGCGCTGTTGCGGACAGACAAGCGTGCGGCCACGGTGACGGCGACGAAGGACACGATCTGCCTCTGCATCTCGCGGGCTGCCTTCACCCGCCTCCTCGGTCCCCTCTCCGAGTTTGGGGCTGTGACGGCCGAGCAGGAACGAAGATCAAGCACTTGAAAGGGGGAACTGCCGGAGGGCCGGACGCGGCGCTCCTCAAGAGGGCTGTCGCGCTTCTCGCGCTGGCGCCGCGCCCCCCTCTCTCGCGCCTCCGCGAGTCTCGCGCGTTGTGCCGATCAACGCATCACAGAGTCCAGCGAGCGAGGCGATCGCACCGCGTCACACTGTGCGTGTGTACCTCCTGATAATTCACAAGAGTCTTTAGACGAGATGAACAACACCAGTGGTTCATCCCCCGGCGGGTGGTGGACTGAGGTGGGTTGCATCGGCCAAGCATCGCGCCAGATCCTGCTACGTTATCTCGATACTAGAGTAGACATGCGCCGCTGATACCGAGTCGACATCGGCGGAGATAACGACGTGTGCCATCGCGTAGCAGCACGCACGTCGTTGTTTCTGGAGTGCACTCACAAGGAACTCAAGGTCAGGGGTGCAACTTACGTGTAGACTGCGGCGATCTCAGCCTTGTGCTTCTTCTCAATCTCCTTGCGCTTGAGCTTGTTGACCGCGGTGAGCATCTCGTTGTCGGGCGTCCATTCCTCCTCAATCAGTATAACCTTGGACGGCGTCTCAAACTTTGCGAGCTTGGCCTTCTTGCACACGGCCTGCACGTCGGCAAGAACCTTCTTGATGACCTCGGGGCTTTTGCACAGCTCGGCCCACGAGCCTTGTCCCAACGACTTCAGGCCCGGTGACGGGCATATGAGCGCGATGCAGTAAGACTTATCGGACGTCGCGAATACCATCGGCAGGGCCACGTACGAGGACGCCTTGAGGGCGTTCTCCACCTTGGAGAGGGCGACGTACTCGCCCATCTGCAGCTTGACCAGGTCCTTCTTGCGGTCGATGATCATCAAGTTCCCCTGCGAGGTGAACTGGCCGACGTCGCCGGTGCAAAAGTACCGGATGCCATCGTACGTGACGAACTCCTCCTTGTTCTTTGCCTCCAGTTCGGGGTCGGGAATCGTCGGGTTGACGAAGTAGCCGTCGGCGATCATCGGCCCGCCGATAAGCACTTCGCCGCGCCGCATGCCAATGTCCGGGTTGTTGAGGTCCGCGTTCTGGTAGTTTCCCTCGGGCCAGTCACGCAACATAATGCACGCGCACTCCTGTGGCGGACCGACGACCGACGTGCCGTTGTCGGTGGGGTCCGTAATGCACGTGCCCGCCACCGTCTCGGTCAGGCCGTAGCCTTGCCGGACGGGGCAGGCAAAGACTGTCTGAACGAACTTTTGCACCTCGACGCCGAGCGGCGCCGAGCCGGTGATGACAAGCTTGACCTGGGAAGTCGGGGGGACTGATCAGGGGCATAGCTCAGCATCGCCGGGGGGTGGCGGAGCCCACCTTTCCACCGAGAAGGGACGCGACCTTCTTCTTGAAGAAGAAAGGCGCCACGCAGCCGCTAGCGCCCCAGCCGCCGTTGTCGAAGTTGCTCTTGCCAGACTCGAGGCCGCCTATGCTAGCCCAGTCCGACCTGAGCGCCCCAAATAGCTGTGATGGCCGCGCAGCAGTGAGGCCGCCGTCGATGATCTTTTTGACGATGCTAGGCGCCGCTGCGAACTTGTGCAGGACGCCCGAGTAGACCTGTGGCCGCAACACTCGGGCGTCAGTTTGAGCGACACCCTACCGGTCGCTGGGCGAAGACCTTGTCGAGCACAGCGGGAGCCGCGACGAGGATGTCGGGCTGCAATGCCTGCGATGGAAGCGCCGCGGGAGGGTGAGAGCGCGTGCGCGTCGCCAGCGGGATGAGGCAACTCGACGGAGGCCTGCGCGTCGCCCTTTTGATTAGCGTGCAGCATCTTTGGCGCCGTCGGGATGAAGGTACCCGTCGAGCCGTAGCCGATGGTATAGCCGGCGGAGAGGAGCGCGATTTCGACGGCGAGCTCCATGATGTGCGCCAGCGGGAGGTAGGCCATGTACCGGTAGCCAGGCTTGACGAAGGCGCCGAGGGCGCCCGTGGGCGAGCGGGTCGCAGACACGAGCACGTTGATGGCCTTGTGCGAGAGGAGGACGCCCTTTGGGTTGCCCGTCGTCCCGCTCGTGTACATCAGGACCGCCTAGCGCGAGGCCCTCGAGTAAATTGGATCTGTAAGGCCGAGCAACACAGAACTGCCCTGTGGCCACCGTGTCTGTGCCGCTGGCTGGCGTCGCGGGCTTGGGAGAAGCCTTGCCCTTCTCCTCGAGCTCGGTCAGCGACGAGACCTCGATGCCCGCGGCCTTGATCTTCTCGACGGTCGCACCCTCGCAGTCCTCAGACCTGAAGACGACGACGCGCTTCAGCACCGTGCACTTGGACGCGATGTTGCCGAGGATCTTGAGCTGTCGCGTCGGGGGGAGGGGCGCGGCAGGCGGAAGCGGTGGGTGGGAGTGGTTTGTGCGTGGGGTGGGGAGGGGGAGGGGACGGTCATGGATCGTGGGTGAGGGGAGTGCATAGCCGCTGGGCTCGGGTCGGAGGCGCGCCAGCTTGCCGTCAGCAAAGACGAGGGCGCACCCAGACTGGTTGATGCCATAGAGCGCGCCCTCCTCGCCAAGCGTCGCATAAATCGTTCCCACGACGTAGCCCTGCCGCCACGAAGCGAAGGCGGACTGCATCCATAGCATCTGCGTGTCGGCGTAAATGACGACCTTGCAATTATGCGAGAGCTCGGGGAGAGAGGCCAGCCCTGAGCCGAGGGCTTCGCAGCGGGCATACCACGCAGAGTAAGAGATGAAGGAGTACTCTCCGAGTTCGAATTTGTCGAACCCCTTGTCGGTCACGGTATGTGAGACGATTGCGCGCTCGCCGACGCAATCGTTCTCCTTGTACTTGGCGGCCGCCTTGGAGAAGGACTCCCATGTGGTCTCGCTCTCGGGCTCGGAGAACTTGCCGACGCTCGTGCTCTTCCACAGGACGCCGGACGCGTCCACCGTGCCGTACTGCATCGTGCTGGCCGGCATCCGCCCAGGCAGTCCTGGGCGGCAGGCGCGAGAGGCTCGGGGAGAGGGGGGGCGATGGGGGGGTAGGAAGGTGATATGTTGCTTTGCCTTCAGTGTCGCGGACGACGGCGCCGACACCGATTTGTGATAATGAAGTCGGTGTTTACTCGTACGTTCCGGCAGGTAGTCGGAGGGGAGAAAGAAGAAAGTCGAGGCCCGCATGCGAACTTTCTTTTCCAGCACTCGCCGTCCTCGCAGGAGTCGCTTAGGCGGCTCCCGTGGTGTACCTGTGTTAGTGCCAGTGCGCGCCAGTCCCGTGCCCAGTGAGTTCTTTTCCGGCACTCGGCTTCCTTGACTCGTAATTCTCCCGCCTTCGACTCAGACTTGCCACCGGACCGAGGCGTGTGTGTGTCAGCGTGCCCATGGCGCCCGAGTTCTCCAACGCGCCGCTATGCACGATCGACATCGCCGCTCTCAAAGCCACCCGCTTTCTCCTCCCCGACACGCGGCAGCTGGCGTACCGCGATGCGGCAGGGCGCATCAACTCGCACTTGCTGCTCGAGTGCGCCAAGCAGGTGAAGCGCGGGGCGGTGACGGTCGGGGAGGACGTGCGCACGAAGCTGGACAAGTGGGTGCGGCACGCAAAGTGGTGGGAGAAGGAGCAGGGCGTGTCCTGGGAGCGCTCGCCGACCGGGGTCTGGGTGTCGTCGGCGGGTGAGCGCCTTGAGGAGACGCGCGAGGCTGCGCTGATGCGCCAGCGCACCGAGGAGCTCGAGCCCAAGGCGGCCTCGCGAGTGGACGACGCCGTCAGGAAGGAGCGGCGGCGGGCGCTCGAGACTCTGCGGCTGCAAAAGGCGCAGGGCGGCAGCGAGCCGGCGGCGGGCGGCGGCGGTGGCAAGCGCGAGCCGGCGGGGGGCGGCGGTGGCAAGCGCGAGCCGGAGGCGGACGGCGGCGGCGGTGGCAAGCGCGAGCGTGCTGCGGCCGAGGGCGGCTCGTCCGAGGCGCGTAGCAAGCGGTCTTGCCCGCAGAGCGCCTCCGAGGCGGAGGCCGAGTCGGAGGCCGAGTCGGAGGCGGATTCGGATGCGGAGGCCGAGGCGGGGCTGGACAAGGTGATTGGCAAGTGCGAGGGCGTCGCCACGCGCATCCGCGAGAAGTTCAAGCCGCTGCTCGAGGAGGACAGCGCCGGTGGCCCCGGCGGCCAAGGGGACTCGCTTCGTCAGCCTCCGCTGATGAGCTCCGAGCTCGCGATGAAGCCTCACCAGCTGATCGGGCTGTCCTGGCTGCACGGCCTCCACCAGCACGGCACGGGCGGCATCCTCGCGGACGAGATGGGGCTCGGCAAGACGGTGCAGACCATCTCACTGCTCGCGCAGCTGCTCGGCGAGGGCGACGAGGGGCCGCACCTCGTCGTGGCCCCGGTCGCCACCCTCGAGAACTGGATGCGAGAGTTCGCGATGTGGTGCCCCGCTCTGCGGGTCGTCAAGTTCCACGGCGACGAGGCGACCAAGGCCGCGGTCCGAAGCAGCTTCTCGCGGCGCAGCGATGAGGAGCCGCCGCACGTCGTCGTCTGCGGCATCACCGCCTTCTCGGGCTCGAGCGAGCGGGCGAGGCAGGAGCAGGCGCCTTCCTCCAGCGCAAGCCCGACTGCCTGCAGCCCTGAACCTGCCTGGAACGTACCTGGAGCCTTCCCATAGGCCTTCCTCCAGCGCAAGCTCGGCCGCGTCGGCGCGCGCGGCAAGCTGTCGTACCTGGTCGTGGACGAGGCGCAGAAGCTCAAGAATGACAAGAGCAACGTGCACCAGAACGTCTCCAAGGTGGAGGCGTGCCACCGGCTGCTGCTCACCGGCACGCCCGTCGAGAACAACCCCGCGGAGCTTCTCACGCTGCTCTCCTTCGTGGCGCCGCGCCTCTTCACCGCCTCGGGCAAGGGATCGCGCGCCTCCCTCTCCGCCCTCTTCAGCAGCGTCGGCAAGGGCGACGGCGTCGCGTGCGCGCCTAAGGTGGCCAAGGTGCGGCAGCTGATGCCGGCGATCTCTCGGCTGCACCTCGGCCGCACCTCGGCTGTATCTCGGCTGTATCTCGTCCAGGTGCAGCAGCTGATGCGCCCCTTCGTGCTGCGGCGGCTGAAGCAGGAGGTGCTCAGCGCGCTGCCGCCAAAGACGGAGGAGGTTGCGGTGGTGCGCATGCCGCCCGCGCAGGGAGCCGCGTACTCGGAGACGGTGGCGCGCATCGCGGCGCAGCAGCGCGAGACGCTCGAGCGGTGGGCGAGGCGCAAGGCCGCCGACCGCGCGGAGCTCGACGCGGGCTGCGAGGAGGAGGTGGACGGCAGGGACCGGGGATGGATCGCCAGCGCCTTCACCGACCTGCGCAAGGCGGCGCAGCACCCGCTGCTGCTGCTCCGCCACTACCGCCCGCTGCTGCCGCGGATCGCGCACGCGCTCCACTGCGAGGGCGCCTTTGGCGACGAGTGCACCTCCGAGATGGTGCTCTCCGAGCTGGAGACGTGGTCCGACATCCAGGTCCACCCGCCGCTGCAAGGCCCGCTCCGGCTCGCCCCCGCCCCGACCGCCCGACCGCCCGACCGCCCCTCGCCGCAGGTCCACCTCAACTGCAAGGCCTACTCGGCGCTCCGCTCGCTCTGCCTGCCGAGCGCTTCGCTGCTCGGCTCGGCCAAGGCGCAGAAGCTCGCCTCGCTCCTCCCGCCCCTCGTCGAGGCGCCGTTCCGCGCTCCCCCGCCGCGCTCCTCCTCCTCGCAGAGGACGCGAGCTCACGCCGAGATTGTACCGAGGCTGTAGGAGGGGCACCGCGCGCTCATCTTCTCGCAGTGGACGCAGACGCTCGACGTCCTCGAGGAGCTGCTGCACAGCCTCGGCATCGCCTACCGCCGGATGGACGGCGCCGTCTCGCCGCAGGAGCGGCAGACCATCGTGGACGACTTCACCGCCGACGTGTCGATCAGCTGCCTGCTCCTCTCGACGCGCGCGTGCGGCCTCGGCATCAACCTCACGTCGGCGGACACGGTGATCCTGCACGACGTGGACTTCAACCCGGCCGTCGACCAGCAGGCGATGGACCGCGTGCACCGGATCGGGCAGACGCGGCCCGTGCGCGTGATTACGCTGGCGACCGAGGGGACGGTCGACGAGAAGGTGCTCGCCATCGCGTCGAAGAAGGTGCTCAGCCAGCACACGCTGCTGGGCGAGGGAGGGGCGCAGGCGGACGGCGCGAGGGACAGCCACGCGGGGCTGATGGGCTCCATCCTCCGCGAGGTGCTCCTCTCTCGCTCGTCCGAAGGGCACCACCCCGGGGAGACGCGAGGCGGGGAGACGCGAGGCGGGGAGCCCGACGGGGGCGAGGCGGCCGCCGTCGGCGAGGCATCGGCGATGGAAGTCGAGGCGGAGGCGGTCTCGCAGGGAGAGGCGGTTTCGCAGGCGGAGGCGGGGCAGGGAGAGGAGTGCGGCGCGGCGGGCGACGTGGCGGGAGGGGAAGCGGAGGCTTCCGGGGGAGGTGGCGGGGCGGCGGTGAGCGAGGAGACGCTCCGGCGGCTCATCTGCGAGCGGCTCGCCGCCTGCGAGGCGGAGGAGGAGGTCTCCGTCAAGGCGGTGCTGCGCGAGCTGTCTTCGCGCCTCGGTGTCGACCTCAAGGCGGCGGGCCTCAAGCCGCTCGTGCTTCAGATCCTCGGCGAGGAGGCGCGTTGAGGGGCGCATGGCGAGGACTAGACTCCGGTCACCTGAACCGGGCTGCAATATTAGCTCTGGGCGGGCGCCCCTTCACGCGCCTTGTTGCACAGGCCGCAGCTAGTTCCACACAGTCTGCGACGAACACGATACACACGTCGGTTATTCGCAGGGGCTCTCTGAAGCCGAGGAACTGCCCCGGGACGCGTTGAGTCGAGCGGACGAGCGCCGAGAGAGAAGAATGAGAGGCTTCGTACATCATAAAGAACCGTAAATGTACCTGTCAAAACAACCATATTCGATTCTGGTGATCGATGAATACTTCTTACTTGGGAGCTGTTACTGCGCGCTCGCCGCAACCCTCTATACAAAAAAAAGTACTGGGGAGTGGGGACGTACACATGAGTCATCACCTGCACCTCCAGGGACCAGCGACCAGGGCAGCGATAAGTGCGAAATCCTCCGCACTATCATACGAGTATCCACATCCCCGGTATTAAATTCTTACACCCGGTATAAAGCCCCACCGAAGCAGTGTCGCATTGTACCTACGGTTTATGCAAGCGGCCGAGCGGCCGCTGATAAAGCCACATGCCATGCAAGAGACCAACAGCCGTCGTGAGGTCGTGTGCGCAGGCCGTATCCATGTCATGCGGAGCGCGTAGGATCGTCACGAGGGCGAGGTAGCCGTGCCGACGAGGACAGGAGCCGAGCCATCCCTAGCGGATCGAGGAAGGGGTCGTTGAGCGGTGGCGGGCAGTTTCGCAGAGTGGTGGGCAGAGCGCAGCACGCCACCGCGCCTGTAGAAGTGCTCCACCCTGCTCCGACGCTCGCTCTCGCCGACCGGGTCGCTCGGCCTGGGGCGCGGGCTTCCTGGCCCAGGGAAGAAGAGCGCGTCCGCCTCGAGGCGCGTCGCCTCGTCAAAGTCGTCGAGCGAGAGGAGGAGGCCGATGGTCGCCTTAGGGTCAGGGTCAGGGTTCGGGTTGGGGTTGGGAGGTCAGTCCAGCGAGAGGAGGAGGCCGATGGTCGCCTTGCGCGCGGACACGCGAGCCGCGCCGCCCGCGCCCGGAGGCTCGACCTCGCCGGGCGGGCTGTGCGGCCTCGGCTCGCGACTCGGCGCCCGCGTGGCCATGCTCTCCACCACGTCGCACGCGAGGCAGATCACGCCGTGGACGATGTCGCGCGAGAAGCGCTCGTCGAGGCCGAGCACCTGATTGACTAATTAATTAAACTGATCCATTCATTCATTCATTAATCAAACTCGTCGAGGCCGAGCACCTAATTAATTAATTAATTAAACTGATCCATTAATTAATTAATTAATCAATCAGACTCGTCGAGGCCGAGCGCCTGCTGCAGGATGCGCAGCCGCAAGCACGGCTGGCGCAGCCGCGAGGTGATCGCGAAGAGCTGCGCGACGTACGCCTGGCCGTCGCTCGCGCTGCGGCGGAGCGCGTAGAGCTGGCTCAGGAAGTGGCGCCGGTTGCGCAGCGCGCGGCCCGTGAGGAAGGAGAGCCTGCGGGGAAGGTTCCGAGAGGGTTCCGAGAGGGTGCCGAGAGGGCACACGAAGCGAGAGGAGGGAGAGCCAGTCGGAGTTGCCGTCGACGCGCCTCGCCTCGAGCCACGACGCGAACCGGAAGGCGAGCGAGGCGGGCGACGGGCACGCCGCGTCCGCCTCGGATCGGCGGAGCCACTCTTCGATCCACTCGCACGCGCCGTCGAGCCGCCTCGCCTGCATGCAGGCTCCGCGAAACTTGCTCGGCAGCTCGGAGAGGGCTCGTGGGCGGAGGGCCGCCTCGCCGTCCCGCCCGAGACGAACTCGGCGAGCGTGATCTGAGCTCCGAGCGGGACGAGCATCGCGTCCGAGCGAGCCGTGGCGCACGCGCGCTGGAGCGAGCCGACCGACTCGAGGGCGGAGGAGCCGCCCCCGGACCACTCAGCGTAGGCGTTGGACGGCGCGAGCGGCTGCGGCGGCAAGAGGGGCTCCGCGAGGGGCGGGCAGCTGCCGGGGTGGGAGCAGCTCGCGGGCCGGCCGGCGGGGGCGGGGGCCGACGCTGGGACGGGGGCTGGGACGGGGGCGGTGGCAGCTGTCGCTGGCGGGGGCGCGACGGACGCCAGCAGCAGCGGCGCAGACACACGGACAATCTCGCGCGCCGAGGCGACGTTGCCGGAGCTGGCGGCGGCGACGAGGCAGCTGGCGAGGAGGGGCGCCAGCGCCGCGGGCTGGTCGCTGGCGGGGCGCGAGAGCGCCTCTGCGAGCGAGGCGCGCAGCGACGCGTGCGTGAGGCCGAGCGAAGCGTGCAGCGCGAGCCGCTGTTGCGGCTGCAGCTCCGGGAAGTCGCTCGCGTCGATGGGCAGCCGCGGGGCGACGCCCGACGCGTCGCACGCCCACGGCAGCCCTCCCGGCGCGCACGCTGCGCTCAGCAGGGCGAGCTGCTCGTCGTGCGCCACGACGCACGCGCCTCCCTCGGGCGTGATGCGCAGCAGCGGCAGGGGCCTGCCGCAGAAGAGGTGCCGGAAGAGGGAGCGCAGGCCCAGAGCCAGCACCAGGTGCCGCTCCTCGTGCGAGCGAACAAAGATGGCGGCGACGTCCTTCCCGCTCAGCTCTACGGACACCTCGTTGTACAGCGAGGGCTCCGGCCGCTCGCCACCAGCGTGCTGCCACACGGCGTGCCTGCGGTCCGCCTCCTCGTTGGCGGCGCGGAGCCCTTCGAGGGAGGAGAGGCGTAGCCGGCATGGACCGCTCAGCGTGACGGTGCCGTCGGCGCCGACATGAAGGTGGTGCTCCGTCTTGGCGAAGACGCCCGACGGCCAGCAGAGGGCGTGCTGCAGGTCGACCGCACCTAATCAAGGCTCCGAGCAGGTTCCGGAACCAGGAGCGTTTCGACCCAGAGAAAGGGTCGTTCTCGCACCGCCGTCGAAGATCAAGCCGACGGCGCCCGGGCGGACGCGGCCATAGAGGTGCATGTGTCCTGATGGCGGCAGGAGGCTGGCCGAGGTTCGAAAGCGGCCACTGGCTTTCAGACGGCGGAGCAGCGACAGCCAGTCCGAGTTGCGGACGGTCTTGGCGAGCGCGCGATGCCTGTGAATCAGAGAGAGAGCGGCGGCGGCCGCCGCCGCCTCGTCGCCGTCAGCTGCGCGCTTGTCGACGACAGTGCAAGGCGCCATGCAAATTAGCACTGCCCGTCAGCTAATGGGCTGTCAACGACAGCTAATGGTCGTGAAGGCTCTGCGACGCTGCGCCAGCCATGCACAATCAAGCGCGTATTTGTGGGGGGTGCTCGTGTGAACAGATGTGAAACCTCGAGGATGTCTAGCCTTTCCACACCCCTCACCCACCCACGCCACGCCGTGGTTTCTTAGCTCCGGCCGGCACCCAGCTCAGCCGGGTTAAGGTAAAATAAAAAAAGCACCCGGGACCGATGCGATGCCAGTCTGCCACCCACTTGGCTCTTTGGATGACAGGAAGACGCACACACCTCCAGTGTGAGCGGCCTGCCTCCAACGGGCAGTCTGGATCACGGGGGATGACATCCTGCCTGCCGACACGTCGGGAGGAGGTGGTTGCTCCGCCAACATACCGCCCTCTCCACCACCCTCGCCCAAGGATCTACAGTCCTGTCTGAACATAGATCACCTATATGTCTTTCGTCGTGCTCAGAGCTTGCGGCCGTAGCCGCTGCCTCCGTGGTCATGGTCGTGGCCATCCCCTTCAAAGTGCTCGACCTCCTCTGGTTCATGATCGGAATGGAGGTCCTCAGAACCATGTGGATCGTCGCCCGTGTGCGCAGCGACCGCCAGCACCTGGCCATTCTGGCAGTGAAGACCGATGTTGCACGAAAAGTAGACAGCGGACGCGCCCTCGGGGAAGCTGTAGCTGTACCCGGACCCGTCTTCGCCGGCGAGCACTTGAGCATTGGTGAAGTCGCACGCATCCATCGCTGCTTTGTCAGGCATCAGCACCACGTTGTGGCAGCACTCGTCCCAGGTGAAGACCAGCTTGTCACCGGCGTGGAACCCGCCAAGAGTTCGCTTTGCCTCCTCGGCAAAGCCGGCGGTCCAAGCGACAGTCGTCTGGCCCTCGTCGATAATGTGCTCCTCGCCGGCATGGTCAGTGCTGTGGTCATGGTCGTGCCCGTCGTCGTGGTGAGCCATGCCTGTGGGCGTGGCTGCGCCGTGTGCGTCGTCATCGTCACCGCCGCTCTTCAGGCCCAACCCCAACCCGAGGCCCAACCCGAGGCCCAGAGCAGCGAGTACGCCCACGACGATGAGAGGCAACGCCCACTTGGACGACCCGCTTTTCTTCGTAGCGCCCTCCTCCAGCGTTGCGCCCCCAGGCTCGGCGCCCGAGGGCATTATGTTCGCAAGATACTACGTCGAAAGTTCCTAGTAAAGTTCGCATTCTGCCCGCCTTCAACTAAACAAGGGCGCCGCTGTACGTACTTTTAGCTTACTTGGAGAAAAGGGAGAGGGGTGTGTTCTGGTGTTACCTAGGCCCCTGATACGAGCGTCACTTTGTACCCACCCCCCCTACTTCGTGGGGACCCCCCCCGCCGGTCGGTGGTCTGCCCCCGAGGTGGACCGGACCCCCCCTCCGGTCGGCCGCTCTCTCGGCGGCGGGAGGTGTGACGACCGACCCCCCCCTCGGTCGGTGTCCTTGCCGTGAGCCCCCTGAAACGCTCTCCCTCCTTCTCGCGAACCGCCACGTGGGCGCCTGAGGGAGGGTGTAGAGGATGTAGAGTGTAGAGCGCTGTAGAGCTGTAGAGCTGTAGAGCGCTGTAGAGCTGTAGAGCTCTACATCCGCCGCGTGACGAGGCGCCTGCGTTGTAGAGCGATGTAGAGGCGCTCTACAACGTGAAATCTCTACAACAAACTCTACATCATAAGCGGCGAACGAGGCACGGTCGCTCTCCGACATGAGGCGCGTTGCACTTGCCAGTGCTGCCCTGGCCTTCTGTCTGCCCGCCCAATGGGTGGCAGGTGCCTCTGCTGCTATGGCATGCCTCACGGCTGCGACTGGCCGGCGCCTCGGCGCGTCAGCTCGGCTCGGCGTAGCGATAGTGGCCAGCGCAACTCGCCTGGACTCAACGCTCAGCCAGGAGCTCCCGCACGCGCTGGCGCGAGTCATGGCGCATGCAACGCGTCTGAATGCTCGCCTCGCCTCGCGCAAATGCGACCGTCCTCGCAGCCGACAGTCCACCGCCTGCTAAAGAAGCACAGCGACGAATGCGGCACCGGCGACACATGGCAGGCTGGTCATGACGCAGTTATAGGGTGTTGTGTGCCGTCAGAGGGACTCTCTGTGTGTCAGGGATAGTCAGGGCTGTCCATCAGAGCTTCACTAAGCTCGGAGACACCCCATTAGCGCGGCTCGACCTCTTTGAGTCACTGCCTTCCCGGCGGTTTGGCTGTAGAGCCTCTACAACAAACTCTACAACAAAATCGCGCTCTACATCGCTCTACAACGCAGGCGCCTCGTCACGCGGCGGATGTAGAGCTCTACAGCTCTACAGCGCTCCAGAGCGCTCTACATCTCTACAGCTCTACAGCGCTCTACACTCTACATCCTCTACACCCTCCCTCAGGTGGGCGCTTCGAAATCGCCGGTTTTCACTATGAAAACTAGTCACGCAGCCAAGCGCCAAGGTCCAAGGAGACTTCTTAGCCGAGGCCCGAGCGAGCCCGACCCCACACATGCATGTGGAGCATCTACGCAGTCGCAGGCCTGGTCCTGCTTGCCGTCACTTTGTACTCCAGACTTCTCCGCAGTACGCGCGCATCGTCCCTTCCGATGACTACGATGACTTGCCAGACTTGATCGACACATCGCCGCCGCCGTCACCGGGCTCATCGGCTTCCGAGTCGCCCAAGCGACAGCGAATGGCAATCGATGGACGCCGCTTCTGGAGCAACTCAGTTAATCGCGACATGCTGCGCGTTGCGCGCGGGCAGAGCTATGCCGGCAACATGATCTGCCTCGCACCCGGTCTTCGCGTCTCCAAATTTTCCCTGGACCATGATGCCACCGTGTGCGGTGTGACCCTCGAGCCAACCCGACCGACCCCCCCCTCGGTCTGCGCTCCTCCGACCGACCGGACCCCCCCTTCGGTCTGCGGTATTCCGCGGCCGCCGACCGGACCCCCCCTGCGGTCGGTCGGTCTGCGCTGGGCCTCAAACCGCGAAGTCGGCCTGTTCACTACAAGATGACGCTCGTATGAAGGCCCTACGCGCTCTCTCATTCTCTCAGTAGCTCTTACGTACATTCCGTCATTCCCGGAGGAGCACTTTTTCCACCCCAAGTTCCTCCTCCACCTGCTCCACCTCTCTCTCTCTCTCTCTCCCCACCCACCCCCAACCAAGTGCTCCGACACGGGCGCCAGTAGCCCAGTACCTGTTCCTTCTGCAAGGTGCAAGCGCATGTTGACGACAGTGCAAGGCGCTGCGACGCGAGACTCGTGCACCAGCCTGCATTAGGGCCGGTGGGGGAGGGTGGGCACTATCATAACGTTTTTCCCTACTCGCGACCGCCAGTACTCGCGACCGCCAGTACTCGCGACCGCCAGTCGCTGGTGCAACATCCTGGAGGCAATCGCTGCGGCCTTTAGCCTCTCGCACCGCGCTAAAGCGCTTAGCCGGTAGTTACGTCCATGCGAGAGACGCCCACGCTGCCACCGCCGGCCGACGGCGGCGGCGAAGCTCTCGTGGTCCACACGCGCCACGGCTTTGGCAACCGCATCAGGTCGATCGCGAGCGCCGTCTGGCTCGCGGCCGAGGTTGGCCGGCGACTCCACGTCCGCTGGGAGATCAGCGAATCGTGCGGCGCCAGCCTTGAGGACCTCTTCGAGCGCGACCTGCTGGGAGGCGTCGGCTCGCTCCGCGTCAACTCGCTGACGGCGATCGCGGCGTCGGCGTGCGCGAGCGAGCGCGGCGTGCTCTCTCGGTACGAGCCGCTGGGCAACCGGTGCTGCCTCTACGCGTCGCACCTCCGCCACCTGCCCGACGACCCGGCGCCTGTCGTCGTGCTCGCCGGCGCGTCTCTCCCGGCGACGCTGCGAGGCAAGCAGCTCTGTCGCCCGCCGCCGACATGGTCGCCCGACGCAAAGGAGGAGCGGGCAAACACGTGCGGCGGCGGCTCTGGGAGCGCGCGCGCGAGGCGCACCCGCGTGTCGAGGCGGCCGCGGCGTGCGTGCTGTAGGTACGAGATGCGGCTCGACGCGGGCAAGAGGGCAGCCTTTTACCGCGCCCTCGTCCCGTCGGCCGGAGTGAGCGCCTTCCTCGCCCCCGCCCTCGCCCGCATCGACGCCGCGCGCGCGGCGGCGGCGGCGGCCGGCGCCGGGCTGCAGCTCGTCGGCGTGCACGTGCGCCAGGGCGACGCGCTCGACGCGGCGGCTCTCGCTCCCCCCCGCGCGCAGGCGGGAGGCGGGAGGCCGCGTGAGCCGCCTCTCCCGGCCGACAGGTCAATGGCTTCTTCAACTCGGCGCCGTCGGCGCACGACGACGCGTACGTCGACAAGTTCGCGGCGGCGATGCTCGACGCCGCCGCACGCGCCGCCGCCGCCGGGAAGCAGACGGCTTTCTTCGTGGCGTCGGACCAGCGGCGCGCGCTCTCCCGCCTCCCGCCCTCCCGCCCTCCCGCTCCGAGTCCTCTCCCGCTCCGTCCTCTCCCCTCGCCCAGCTTGCCCCACCCCCCACCCGCCCTCGTGCAGCCGGGCGCGGAGGCAGCTTCGCGGCCGCGTCGGCGGCAGCCACGCCGTCATCGAGGTGCCGCAGGGGCGGCACGGCGGCGGCGACGGGGGCGGGGTTGGCGACGGGGACGGGGTTGGCGGCGACGGCTCTGCAGGCGAGGGACGCGAGGAGCGCGACTTGAGAGGCGTGCAGAGGGCGGTCGCCGAGTGGGTGCTGCTGGCGCGCGCCGACGTGATTGTGCGGAGTCGCGAGTCGAGCTTCTCGGCTGAGGCGGCGCTGGTGCACCGCACAAAGTGTGTGAATGTGGAGCCCGTTGGGTGACAAATGCGAGAATGCGATGTAATGTGATTCTTGTGATCGCCACGATTCGATTGCCATATCAGCAATCGGTGTCGAGCGCGCGGTGTGATATACTCTGAGGTATGCACAAACCAGATCCTATAGGGTGTGGATGCTGGGTTGAACAAAATCGGAGGACGCGACCCACATCGCCACAGACGGTCCCGCGCCTCGCCGCTAAGACGGGGACACACCCCGCACCGTCCGCTGTGTCCCCGTCTT